GACGGTCGACCCTGCTAGTAGAACAGAGGCAGGCACAAGCAGTGCAGCCGGAGATGGTGCTGTCGTTTGGCGGTACGAGATGAAACCCACAGAGATTCGGAAGCTGGCAACGCTGGGATCACGGATGGAGACATTTGGAGGTGGGTTCGGATGGAGCCCAAGACGCCGCCGAAGGTCGGAGTCTATGAATGAGCCATAGTAGAATAGGAGAAGATTGCAGTGTCTATTTACGGTACAATGTTCTCGCTCGAACGTGTGTTCCCACGAACAGGGCGAGACCAACCCATGTTGCACGCGAGTGCTGCCAAGGTTTAGCTACCCTATGCCTCTCCACTGTTTTGGATGTCGCGTCCGCCGATCGACGGGAATGGCTAACACCTTGAAATGCTACAATACCCCTAAAAAGCAATACTTCGTGGACGGCTCATACCGTGGTTGATCGAAATCAGGTTCGGTGAAGCGGTACTGCCTGGAGAAATGCGATGAGGAGGGGAAGAAAGGAGACTACATCGACACGGAGACCGACACCAACGACGACCACCGTCACAACCTCAACAGCAAGCACGGCACCACAAACAGCAGCAAGACCGATGTCGAAAAGACAGTCACTCCGTCAACGGTCCCGTCATTGTCTTCAGCGGCAACAGTTGCTCTTCCTCCGCGCCGTCTCGCGGGGGCAGATTGCGAGTCCGAACTGGAATCAATCATTGCGGAGACAGAGGCCGCTTTGTCCCCGCTTTGGGCGGAGGATGTGGAGGGGGTGAGTTCGCAGATAAGCAAACCCAGTTCGACTGTGTTGGCCACGGGACGACAAATACATGATCGAGCGCGACGTCCATACAATTTTCACGGGCCTGTCACCGTCATCTTTGCAATGGGCTATCTAAACCTGTGCTGCTTCCGCAAAAGTACGTTTCGAGCATACCAATCTAAGTCGAGTTTCAACGTATTGACGGCGACAGCCAACTTTGAAGTCCTGGGAACGAGACAGGTACCGTACTACTTTGAGGCGCCCCGCAGCAGAGCTTACAAACTTCGATGCATCTCCGACGCTCTCGCCACGAATCTCTCAACGCACCAAATTAGGGACTCGCACCGTTTCTAGACCGCTGCAGGGTGGAGAAACTGTCGTTGGTGCTCCTGATGGATGAAAAGCTGGAGAAGCTTCCCGTGGAGGCATGTGCGGCGCTGGGCGGGATTTCGAGCGTCTCTCGCGACTTCAGCGTCCACATGCTGCGCCACAGGTTGGGGAGGTTGTTTCTGGTGTAACTTTTTAACACTTTTTCTGGGAATTGTCTCTCAGTGTGCTTTCTTGGCTTTGTTAGGCCTGCATTCGCCGTTGATATGATAGAAGACGTTTGCACCAGACTGTCGCTCGCTGTGGAAAGAGATGCCCATGATTCCTTCTCCGATTGATATTCTCACGTGTGGAGTCGCACACTGCGGGTTTTTCGAGATGCCGGCCTGCCTACTACGCAGGAAGAGCCCTTTCAAGGCTACTGTTATAATGTATTTTCAAGCATGTCGTCGCTATTATCAATGCCGTGTCCGACACCCTGACACAAATTCGAGACCCTGACCGAGAGAAGCTGCTGCTCGACGACTGTACATCCCGAAGCGCAGGTTAACGTTGATCCTCTATTCAAAGTATCCATTGAATCTCGCCTATGATGGTGCACTTCACTTCTAATGAAACCGTCTCTTGCCTGATCGGATGGCTGTCATACAACGTTGTAGGCTCAAGGCAACGACGAACGCTGCTACTCCGGGGCACGACGTCGTCAGCAATGCGCACATGCGCTACGTCGCCGACCCCCTATCGGAAGACCCGGGGGTGACTCCCCCTACACCACCAGCCGTGGAAGCCGCCAAGGTCAGTACACCTAACCGTGCTGCTGCTTCCAAAAGGAAAAAGGGCGGAGTGGGTGAGGAACAGAACGCCACCGAAGACCAACCGGAAGAGGGCGGAAGGCTGCCCATTTTGAAGGTCCTGCGAGAGTGCGTAGGTGAGCATGGGTGTGAAAAAGCTTCTCATTTTTCAATTTTCCTGTAGCCCGTTGCCCACTTAAAGCTGCGCGTGTATGGATAGATTTTGGATCAAGCTCTAAATGTCCCCACGCACCAACCTCGGGCGTTTACAAGCAGACCCCATGGCCTCAACGCAACATGAGGTGTTCGCGCCCTCTACGTCCTCTCTGAGCATAAATTTTTTCTTCTCGTCCAGGTTGTGGATATTCTTCACGCGGCTTGTGCAATGCTCTCCCTCCCTCCTGTATTTTTTCGCATTCACTCCATCGACTTCCTACGCGATGCGGACGTATGTCCAGGTTTCTCAGGCATGCCAATTTGGTTTGTATTGTGTTGCCCGATACTTCAGCCTCAGTTTCGCTTCACCTATGCTCTCACGATGTTCGTTTCTAGGACAAGACGGCGGTGGGGATGGTAAGGAAAAGGGCACAAGCGGAGGAAGCGTCAAGGTCTCCGCATGGAAGGGGGTGGGGGGTGACGACCACATACCCGGTACGCGATCGCCCGTTTCCGGTTACGACGGCGATGCACCTCATATATCTGACAGACCACCTATGTATGTATCAGATTGATTGGCCTTCCCTGTAGGCAACGGCAAGAGGCGTTCGGCCACGCGCCGAGATTGAGTACACCCGTCGAAGCAAGGCCTTCAGGCTTGCATACTGTGAAGACACCCAACACATCGGTTTCAAGCAGAGAATGGTCGGAAAGAGAATTGGCTGAATTTACCCAATGGCGTGCAGCGGTTGAAACATGCAGCGGAGAGATTTTCTGGTGTGCACGATTGGGCGCGAAAAGGCTCGCGTTTAGGTTCGCAATGCTAGCGTGTCGCCAGGAAGAAGGGCGACATGTATGTATAACCGAAAGCGAACTATCCCGTTTTGTATGTATTTCCCCGCTCTTTGTCTCGAAGAGTCGCCTGTTTTTCGAGCCACCCCGTGTTTGCGCACAGAATTAAAAACTTCACTTGGCGAAAATCGCACCTGAGAAAGGATGGGAAAAAGAAACAAAATATACAGATTGCCTGAAACAGGCCCATTGTTCATGTGCCTTAATGCAGAAACGCTTGAGTTGTGCACAGGGCGAGCCTGCTCGGGCTACCCACCTTGTTTCTTCCGCGCAAACTGTAGACTAATCATGTAGACTTAAAGCAAACGTTGGCGTTGTTCGTACGTATTTTGTCCAGGTGTGCGAGAGTGGCAGTCACTTATCAGCGGCAACGATTCAGTCGGTGAGGGAGGGTTCGTCTACTACGGTCCAGGCCGGTGCCTGTCAAAGCTTCCCCCGAAGCACCTGGTGGGGCTCAGCGCCAGCTGCAAGGTGATTCATTGTGGAGTGGGGCTGGTATCGAATCCCCTCTTACAAGAATGGCAGTCAATCGTGACTGCATCACAACGGCAAGATGCTTCATGCAGTTCTTGTGGGCATTCTTGTAGAGTCCCACATGCCCAGCGGCAAACGACATCCCACAAGGTTTGGTGGTCGGCTCTGGTGGCATTGCAGAAAGGGGGTGGATGTATTGCTCAGCGGATGGCCCGACAAGCTTTCAAAGTCATGTTTCCATCACACCGTATCAAGCAATGTTCTCATTCCGATGGGTGTGTACTCTAAGGCCGAGACGGTCTGGGCATACAACTCACATCAACCAACCCCGTCCATTCTCCCAGGCCGCTATACTTATCGATCGGGCGGACACCAGCGTTAGCCGGCGACTGGAAAGCAAGCAGGACACACTCAAGTCGCCGGAGGAACTGGAGGCGGAGGAGCCTGCTCAGACGGCTGCCATCTTCTCCCTTGTGGGGTAAGTTACGGCAGCAACGTTGGTTCTTTGACTGGCGAGTTTGAAGGGTGGTCCTTGTTCTGCACGTGAGCGCGTTCGATTACAGAAGACATAACCAATCACGGGCAGTCTTGTGTCGTTTTTTTTTAAGTGGCAACTTTGAATGGTGACCCATTCGCTGCACATGAGCACGTTCCCTGACACACCCAAGCACAGCTTTCGCGTTGCTCTTTCTCGTGTCCGTCTGAAACTCAATGAAGAGAACACCCTCGGGTACTGCGTAGACAAAAACGAAGAGAGGAAAGCCTTGCTCCTGAAACACGGCGTCTCAATGACGGGGTTGCATCAAGCAATGCCCTCGATAACGTTGGGTTACTCACGAACATTGTCTGGAAATATCTCCACTGTTCAACAACAAGCAGCCGTTTGGAGAAGATTGCGCGCACTTGCAAGAACAAACCTCCGAGCAACAATGTTGTCGGGGCATTTCGTGGTTTTCCAGGTGCCAGTCCGTAGTTCTCAACATGTGGTCCGTCACCCTGCACAATAACCGGAGGATCATTTGCTCGCTGTTTCGGGGCTGGGGCGAAGAGGGCCTTGCCCTGGGGAGCGCGTTGACGACCGTTCGAGGTGACGTCGGCATTAAGCCCAGGGCCCGATTCTGCACTGTCCTCTACGGGCTGCCGACGTTGAAGTACGGGCCATGACGACAACCAGGGATCTCGCCAGCCATTTGGTGTTGTAATATCGAGGCTGGGCTCTGACGCAGCGTACGGCGTTTGGAAGAGACCGAGTGACAGCCGGCTGCTTTCTTTAGAACTTTGAAGCCCACTGTGGCTTTGACTAGTTGCCAAGTTTACTCGAGTAGCGTATGCTTGCGAAAATCGAGGAGCTCGCGCTTTAAAGAGCAACGGCCGCATGGTTTTGCGTTCGAAAGAGGAGCGGAGTGACTCGACACCAAACCAAGGGTCGTCTTCGGCTCCTGGGCTACACTACACAGACCTTCCTCTTCGTGACCCCGGCTGTACGTCACATATACTTGCCGAGAGTTTGTTGTAGACTGGCGCCAGAATAGATGGGACGATTACATACACACGGTCACCTTACGAGCTGGCTCGTTTCTACCGGTACGAACTCGTGATATTTCCCCATGTCGTGGACTACATGTTCTGGACGTACTGATCTTTCCACCACGGCCAATAGGTTGGGATTTCAGTGGTAGTTATGGTGAAAACGATAGACGGAACAAATGCTACCGAGACAGGGAGGAGAAAGCATCCAAGAAACTAGCACGCACCCCTGCACACATCCACACGTTTCTACCCCTAAGCGATTGCGCAACACTCCGCAAACGAAACATTGTGCGACTTTACAAAGTGAGAACGGTGGATTCTGAAGTGCGGCCAGACATGGCGCATACGGCTTGCAGCGGAACACGCAAACGTGAGCAGCGAGCGGCACTGAAGCGATCTCGTTCGCCTGTCTTATACAATTATCCCGAACTGCGGGCAAACGTCAAGGCATGGTCACGAAGAAAGCAAACAGGCAACAAGACGGGAGTCGTGCACAAAATTTGATTCATCGATTTGATACTAATGTGGATTCCACCCCTCTCTCTTCCCATTTTTCTATGTGATGTACGCACCGAATGTAGTTAGCCTACAGCAATACACCGAAGGGTCAACGACAACCAAACATTTTCGCCATTATTGACCCGCCAGTCGTTGGGTTGCGACCAATAATCAACGTGCAAATGAAAAGACATTGTTGCTTCCAGCGGCTCCAGCGTCCCCACGGCGGAGCCCGCCAAGGACATGACGCGATAATATATATAAACTTCATATCGTCTGACCTTCAGTGTGCACACTGGAATAACAAATAAGCTTCGAGGCGAAGCTTGTCGCATCAGCCGCCAACCGCCTCCTGGTAGACGCTACCATCTCTGTGCAAGGATGCAAGCCGAAGAGCAAGACAGATTGTTCTTCGTCCCGTGAAGGCACCAAAAAACAGGCAAGATGCTATTCTGAGATGTTGACTCTTACAGACACGTCGGCATGCGATGCTTTCGCAGCACATGGCTCGCCAAATCGTTGGGCTACATCGCGCGGAAGTCAAGGAATAGCTGCGACTGATCGATGCCATGCCGTTCTGTGCTGAGGACCGTCCATTGATGGAGGTAAAAAACAAAAAAAAAACACCCGTGTGTTTTCTTGCATGTTGTTTACTGACTGCGCCCAAAAATACAACTGTCAAAGCTACGCAATTGAACATCAGCCAGCTGCTACAGCCGGGCTCAGCAACCTCTACCCTTCGTCTCTTGCCCAACTCATAAGGTCGCAGAATTGGCCGCCGCGGTTGGTTCTCCTTGATCTTTAGCTCACTTCTATTCCTGCATCGGCAGGAGGAGCTTCTCGGGGGATTCCACCGGTTACTTATTCTTGCCGAGGGAAGAAACACTCTAAAAATTGGAACAAGGACCCGCTAGTTAGAGCTACGAAAGGGCTATTACATGTACAGACAGAAACGACGACAAGGGGGCCTACCTTATCGCAAACCAGCGACGATCGTCAATCGTGGCCGGCTCAAGCTCTGCGTATAGGTCATCAAGCGTCCGAATAATGGCCTCGAAATATGTCTAGCCCCCCTCCCTCCCCACAATAGGGGTCAACATCAAAGCATAGATCGAGCGGGCGGCAGGATTGAGGTTGGGTGCTATAGGTGGTGCCTGTGGCAACATGTTCTCAATCCCCCGCCGCTCCTTACGCCCCCACAAACCCGACAGAAACGCAGACAACAATTACTTGCCCCGTCGTGTTTGTACCCTGTTTCCTCCCTCCAGCGCCACCATCGCAACCACTGTCAACCCAGCACTTGGCGCGTTCGCCGCTGCTGCTGTCCGTTGCGGCTTCTGTTCCTCCTTCCTCTTTCTCTCCCCGCGTCGCCCGCACGGAACCGCCTACCCCAAGAGAACGCGGCATCACCATCATCATCATCAGATGTCTCAAGCCCTGGACGCGACACCATCAAGGTTGTTAAGCCTTCAAGTTTTTGACGTGGTGCCGCTGATACTTTCCCCTCATCTCGTAGCCGATCCCGGCAAACACCATCGCCACTCCGCTGCGAGGGCAAAAACAAATAGAAAAAATCGCAGCCGAAGCCAAACGAACAACACGAGCAAGAGCGCGATGAATGAGACCAGGCTGGGCAACACGCAGCAGGTTGTATGTACCACACGACAGGACATGTTCGCGCCGCCGCAAAGCTTTTCGCGGAACAACCGCGAAGAGGGTGTTACAGGCGCTCTTGGTCTGATTGATACATGGCTCCGTGCTCTCGCATTGTTGCCGAGGGCTACACTACACCATTCTCTCCACAATAATAGCAGGGGGTGGGTACGGGACGTACGGAGTGGAATGCACTGAGAAAGGGCCAAATGACCACGCGCTTGAACACGCTCCCTAACACTGCGAGACAGAGACAGGCCAGACTTACCCCCATTGCTTGGGGCCGATCGCGTGTCCGAAGACGATGACGGAGCAGACGATCGTGAAGAACTTCCTCGTGGTGGTGATCGTCGTGCACACCAGCGGGTTGAAGTTGCTGATGGTATAGTAGATGAAGTTCTGCCCGAACGCCGCGGCAAGGGAGAAGCCCAGCACGTAGCTCTGTCCATGTTGATAGTTGTGACGAGAGAAAAGTGGTGAAAAACGGGGGCCGGTTAATGCATTTAACAATGGGAAAACATGCATGTACACTTTTGCAACAAGTCGAACAGTTTCAGGGGCCAGCCGCTCGGCTGTGTCGTCATCGTGTCACATGACCTTCAACCAACGTGCACGCAGTACAGTAGGAAAAAAAAAAAACATTAGCCACCAGGCGACCCCCGAGAATCCGAGAATATCGGCTCACCGAACACAGAGATGCAAGCAAAGACAAGCGCAGCACCGGGGAGGGACACGACCGCCATCGTGCACGAGATTCACGGAGGAACTTTTTCTCAGTAGGGTACGGCACTCGCCCTCTCGCCTCGTGTGCCGCACGCATCGTCGTGGTTTCCTCCTCTCAGTCAAACCGAATGAAAACGGGACCGGCTACTTTCGGATCGGATGCTAACCCCTCCCTACCTTCCAACCCACAGTCACATTAAGCGCTGCTTGTCCACGCGTTCATGACGACGGGGGAAGATAGCAATAAGCTGCAAGCAACTACGCCAGTATCTACTTTTCGGTCTACACCTCGTACAGGTCATTAAACGACGTGGGGACAAGAAGAAAATCCTGAAAAAAAAAAAAATCACGTGAGTAGCCTTCAGTCTCTTATCTCGAATGATATGTATGGAAAAACGCGGGAAAACCACAAAGCTGAACCACAAAAAAGGCTTACTAGAACGGTATTCACTCTTTTACTTCAGCACTTGCATGTCGGGGGCGCCAAAAGGAGGTCGTGCAGGCTCTACTGCTGCCACGTTCGCGGGGGGAAGCTACTTTCTCACCATGACGGAAAGGTTCGTGGAGCAAAAGGCGTACCCCTCCACCGCCTGACCGGACAGGTACGCCGCGGCCGACAAGATGGCCAGGGCCCACGCGTTCATAAAGAACATCATCTCGTGCACCGTGGGCTTGCAGGCGGCCTTTAACCGCTCCTGAATCAACATTTAACATGATAGCGGTCAAAGGTTGGGATCGGCCAAAGTCTTTCGGCGCACTCATTGAAGAAACACGTCCTGACTTCTTGCGGGAAAACCTCACGCCTCCAGTCGGCGCTCGAACGAAACAGGAGATGCGGGAGAATGATAGTAACGGTTGAAAATCATGTTCTCAAGCTCCATTTTTTCTGGACTGCTTTCAAAGTCCAACTTCTCCACAGCAGAACGAGTGACCGTTCCGAAGTTGGCGGAGATCAAACCGTCCGGTCGAGTGCTTTCCAAAAACATATCGATTGCCTTCTAACTCCGTTTCATCGTGGAGTAATCGAGCGATCCAGGGGGTGTGTAATCTTGCGTCACCTATGCATACGGTACACAAATCTACATACCTGAGCGCTACCCGTGACGCCGTCGAGGATAAGGCTGAGGGCCAAGAGGCCAAGCCCGTACGTGCTGTTTTCCTTGTCCTAAACACGAAGAGAGAAAAGGGAGGAGACAGAGGGGGGCGACGATCACGTCAACGAGGGTCCGCACTTCATTGCTGAATCATGCGCAAAAATGCAGAGAGGGGGGGAGGGGGGGGGGGGGGGGG